TCTCTCTCTTAGCACAATAATGATCACATACAAAAAAGCTTATGATTTATCTACTTTTTGTCATATTATGTCACACCATGCCCTAGTGATAGTTTCTCTCAATGTCTTTCTCATGCTACCTAAAACACAGGTGTAATGATTATCTCATAGCATCAACTTCTGCAGTAGGATTCTGTTGCATTTTAAATTTCACTGAGGGCATAAAAACAATCCCACAATGATAGTTTTAACTTACAGCTCATGTATGAGATATGAACTCTGCTTACTTTACTATGAATTTATAAAAATGAAACAAACCACACAATGTTCAATGAGTTTCTTGGCCTGCAACTAAAGAAAAATTACATTATAGAGCCTTGGTATTGTTATTGCTTTAGTGAACCTATTTATATCCAACTACATTGTTTGTGCCTTGACTAATAAATCCATTCGAAGCATTTACTGCAAATACAGTCACCATGCTGAGCAATGGGCTACAATAATTAAGGGTAGAAAAATAGCCCTATTTTCTAGATATTCACAGTTTAGAAAATAAAGATTTCTCTTTTTTTCCCCTCCAAACTGTTCTAGTGAGTAAGAGAAAGATTTGTGACAGAGTCAGAGTAAATAAGCACATCCCAAAAGGCAAAATGAAAGAGGTTATTATTATTCTTTACTAAATTTAAGAAAAAGTCTAAAATGTATGCTACATCTGTGTGTGAGTGTATATAATATTTTCCCCCAAAATGAAGCTTTTCCTGTGTAAAATTTTCCTAAAATACTCTTAAGAACCTTTAAATACAACTAAAATTGTATCAGGTTGGAGAAAAAGCAAACTTTATTTGAGATAACTATAATTTTCCATTATTACCCTTAAAATCTAAAAGACTTGATGTGTAATTAATAATTTTTTGACAATCAGACCTTGCCCAACCTCAATGAGACCACTAGGGTCAATATTATTTAGTAATAAAGGAATGCCTTTGCAATGTGGTGATCATTAATTTATTTTATAATTTAAAATATTTTTGTTCTGCATAATAATTTTTTTCTTTCCAATTCATTTTTTCTTCATCTTTTGACCAGGAGTAAAATGGTCTAAGAGGTGTATAGAAGGAAGAACACCAGGGTCATGAGGCATAGTTTGTCCTTGTAAAGTTATAATAATGGAATTTCACAGTGGTTGAATCACTCTTTGCTGATGAAGTGTGCAGCAGTGTCTTAGTCCACTTTGTGTCATTGGAATATTGCACACTGGGTAATTTATGAACAGTAGAAGCTTATTCAGCTCACAGTTCTAAAAGCCCAAGTCCAATATCAAGGTGCTAGCACCTGGTGAAGGCCTTTTTGCTGTCACAGCATGGTGGAAGACATCACACCACCACATTGTGAAAGAGCTGAATAGGGTGCAAGCTTGGGTCTCTTTCTCCTCTTACAGTCACTAATTTCATCACGGGGACCCATCCTCAGGAACTGATCTAATTGTCATGACTTCTCAAAGCACCCCCACCTCCATTCACATATGAATTGGAGACTGAGTTTCTCATACCTGTATTTGAAAGAAAATATCAAACACTACACATGGAGATCTAAATAACATAATCATTAAGGGGTTAAGATAAGATAGTATATAGTATAGATAACTGGCCAATATTACAAATATATATATAAATATATATTATATATATATTATATATAAATATATATTATATATATATATAAATATATATTTTATATATATATATATTAGAAAAGATGGTTGTATAGTAGAAAGAACAGTGGAGAAGAAGTAAAGGAGCCAGATCCACTGTATTTAACCACATAATCATTGCAGATGATTATGGAAAATTGTTTTGAAAGAAAATGGGGGACCACCAATACGTAAAGCTTTTGAAAACAACTGTGCCAGTATTACTTGAAAATCTTTATTACTAAATTGTCTTTGTTGTGAGATTAGAATACATAAAATTCCCGTGAATATACATTAAAATCGAATAATCCAAATCAACACATATTGTTTCTCTGTGATTAGCAAACATTTTTCCACCCTGGGGGGAAAAATGGTAACAGATTAGATGTTATTGATTTGTGAATGATAGTCAAACTGAGAAAATGTACTACAGTGTTGCTAAGTATAAACTTAGAAACTTTCATCTTCTGTTAGAAGATTCTCTACTGCTTTGGCCCATTTCATTTCCTATCATTGGTTTCATTGTGTGATGTGCTGTCCTCTGCACCACTCACACAAGATGTGTTTGCCATTAATACTGCAGCACTCTGAATAAACCCTGTAAGTGGGCTTTCGGAAAGCTACTGACAATGTGCATGAACTGAGAATTGTTGGCTTCGTGCTTTCAGTGAGTGAGAAGACAAATGCTCATCCATGTGCCACTGATGAATACTTCGCAGCTCTGTTTACCTCATATACAGAATTATAGTATGCAACAACCACATAATGAAAGGTTATAAACCAATGTTTGGATGAAAAAACAGAATGCGACGATTATGTAGTGGCAATGATTGTGAGGTGAAATATGGTAGTTGTAGTTTTTTACAAACAACCAGCTGAGGGACTTCTGCTGGATCCCACTATACATTTTATGCTACAGTAAAACCAACAGCATAGACCTTCAAATCAGTCAGACTTGGGGAATGACTTGAGAAAGTTACCTAATCTTTACAATCTTCAGTTTTATTTCTATGACATGAATGTAAAATGCTTGCCTTGCTGAGCTGTTGTGAAATTAAAGAATAATGATTGAAAATGTCTAAACTTTTGAAAAGTATCAGAGATATCTAGTATATGCTCAGTAAATTTTGATTATCAATATTTGGGTTTTGTTTTATTATTATTTTTCTATTAATTTATTTATTTACTTGGGATTGAACCCAGGGTTTCTACTGAGCTCTGTCCACAGCCCATTTTATATTTTTATTTTGAGACAGGGTTTCACTTAGGGTCTTGTTAAGTGGCTGAGGCCAGCTCTGAACTTGCAACAATCTTCCTACCTCAGCCTCCTGCATTGTTGATCTCAATGTTTTTAGCATAAGATATTAATTCTCTCATTACCGGCCTCTAAGATTGTCAGCATAATGCAATGAGATAAGTATAAAGCACTTGGAAAAGAATAAGGTCTTCCATAAACATAAGGGGAGGTTTCCCTGGTATGCCCAAGAAATACTGAATTCCAGAGTGAGTGAAGAAAGTGTGCAGCTTGGCTCATCTCTTCTCACATGGTGACAGGGGTGTACAAATTTCCCTCGTGCTTATGAAACTGCAAATAGGCTGATTTAGTCTAAGCATTTTATCATGGGCCAGGTGCCTAGGAAGTCCCACTTCTTATTGCCAGGTTCTTATTGAAAGAAATAGAAAGGTGGTTGGCTTAAATTCCAGCTATAGGAGCTGCCAAATGAATTTTAAAAAAAATAACAAAACAAGTCTCTCTAGCAGCACACAAGGTCGCCTTTCTCCTCCTTCCGCCTTCTTTCATTTTAATGTTCTGTAATGTGTGGTTTTCAGATTCCAAAAGTGTAAACAAAACTTGTCTGTTCTGTAGTTTCTATTATCCAGTGCAAATTGGAAAAGGAAACCATAATGCTTCTTAATCTTCTTTAAAAATTTCTTTTTACAAATAATTTATTTCCAAATATCAGTGTCCCTTACACAATTTGGATGGGGTGGGTGGAATAGAAAGAGGATTCCTATCAACCTATTGCAGACAATTCTCCTTGCCTGTAGCGCAGCATGATCCATGCCAGCAGTTTCCCAGAATATTTGTGATCACTATGCTGGGGAGAAAACTCTGCAAAGACATCCCAGTCATTGAGGATGTCTACTACATTTGCAGGGAAACATACCTCAAAGGAATGAAGGTGAATCAAAGGTGCTTCTTTCTTTTATTTGTTTCTAGAAAACACATTTTCCCAAATCAAATTGAATTATATTTTTATCATGATATGAATTTTACGAACAATTGAGAAATATAATTTTAAATGTTAAATGAAATTTGTTTCTTGTTGAATATGTATATATATATATATATATATATATATTTGAATTATAAAATTCTATTTTCCTTATAAGTTTATATCTTCTATGTGTTCCTTACTGTCTCAAGGTTGTGTGCTGATTTCCCTGTGTAGTTTCACAACACAATGTCTTCATTCACTACTCACATTTCATAGTACATTAATAATCTCAACACAAGTCATTCCCTGGGCGCTGGATTCAGAGTTTTAAAAGATATAGGGACATTTCTTAAGCATAGGTAAATATTAAATATCAGTTATTCGAGAGAGGGAGAGAGAACAATGACATTTGCTGCCAGCCTTGCAGTCCTTTGAGATGTGTGTTTGAGCACATATGACTTGTTGAGTCTATTAAACAGATCTGGTTCAGCTGTGGTGCATATGTTGGTTTTCAAATACAAGTTCAGATGGGTTGTTGGTAGAATATGCATGTACATGAACTCCAGATATGAGCTTTGGGAATGCCGTTTGAAATTTTATTCATTTTTAAAATTTAAATACTGATCTGAAAAATATATAAATAGATTTGGTTTTGACATTTGGAAACATGGTTAGGAAGAGTAAAACATTAAGGAAAATAGTCCCTAAAATATTAAAGGAATGCTTTATATTGAATTATATTTTAAATGAAATAAATTGAGCATTAATTCTGTCTGGAGTTTTAATTAGTCTGATAAGCAGACTGTGGATCTCAACTGTTCGTGTGATAGTGATCCAAACTATTGTATAAGGAATATATTAAATATTTTAAACCTGGTTAAGGATCCTTCAACTAGAGAAGATACTTCATAATAGTTTAGCTCAAAAAGAAAAGGAACAAACCGTTATGTTTATATAAAAGGGGGTTTAAGAAAATAGAGATTTTATAAAATTCTAATTTTCCTTCTGTGTTTTTATACTCTAGATGTATAAAATACATGAAATAATAATAATAAAAAACAAGCAAACTCTTAATTACCAAATGCTAATTATTTTTTTCTTTTCCATTTCAGCTCTCAGGAGAAGTGATTTTGCAAATTGCCAATGAACCAGTTCTGCCCTTTAATGCTCTTGATATAGCTTTAGAAGTTCAAAACAGCCTTAAAGGTAATTTTTCTTTAAATTATAATAATTTTAGAAAATGAAAAATTATTCAACTAATTTTCAACAAGGAATAAATGAAGTCACCTACTATCTCATTAGCTATGGCAATGGTGTCCCTCCCTTCCTATGGAGACTTATCATGAGAAGAGCCTGGAAGAATTTTAACTGATATGTCAACACAAATGAAATGTGCCTAGTGTGAACAGAAGAGTTTAAATCTTGGTCTCCCTGCTTTCTTTAATCAAAGAGATTTATAATTCTGTTTCTGTCATTATTTACCAGTTACATATGAGATAATATAGTTCAGAGATCTGATCTATTTTTTTTTTCAACATTGTGCCAAACACCTAGTCATTCCAAACAATGATGCCCCAGAAATTTCTCCTTTGGGATTGGTTTCTATGGAGTATGAGCCCCATTCCATTTGACTGAAATGTTGGCTCAGGTCAAAGATGATAAGGAGACATCCAGAGAAGTATTTCCACAGACTCAATTCAGTCCGTTCATGTTTGAATATGGATCTCTCTGCAGAATTCTGACCCCACCCTAATAATTACTCCCACTTCCTCTATTTCTGTATATGAATCTTTCCATTAGGTTCCTATTTCTCTTCATTAACCACACAACAAAGGGCAATATTATAATTAAAAATTTCACTCTTTGTCTTGAGTCACACATCTTCCTATCAGATCTTTAGTGAGTCATTTGTAGACAACTACTTCTCAATGCAAAAGCCAATATTCCAACTACAGTGCTTAAGTGGTTATCTCTGAAAAACAAATCATTCTAGAGTCAGAGATTTCCAGTAACTAGAAATTTAGTACTTTTTATTTTTTCCTTAACTACCTGGATTGCCATTTTACTCAGAAAATTCTCCAACAATTATTTTTTCCTTCAATAGTTCATAAAGATTCTTTACTAGAGTGGCTGAAAAACTATGACTTCAGGAGCAATAGAGCCATAGGTCTGTTTGTGTCCCTCATGGTCCTCATACTGCTCTGCATTTTGTATACTTAAGTCAGTCTTCATGTAGTGGTGTTCTTTCCTGCTTTTATCTGACAGTCTCCAGTGTGGATACCTATAGCAGTAACTCTATCTCCCACACTTCAGATTTGCTATCTAGAATATTTTGGGTTTAAAAACTGGATAGCTATGCATATGACATTTTGCAAAGTAAGAACAGAACAGGTATAAATAAGAGACCAAATAGTTCTGTGAATAATAACTTTTCTGCAAGAATATATTTTAGAACATCTATTTTATTTATTCTGTTGATTATTTCGCTTTTTCTTTGGTTTTCGTTTTCATCCTGTAGAAAATTGCAAATGATACTTTAAGCTTTCAGAGAATAAAAAGAGGAGGTCATTATTTACATTATGTAAATACCGTCCATCTAAAAAGGAGTAGCTATTATGCAGGTTAAGGAGACCCAAAGAGCAGACTTCAAAATGTTATCATATAATAGAATTATAAATGATAAAGTTGTTTTCTGAGTCTAAATTTTCTTTGATAAATGTATAATATCTTAGTAATAAAGACATGAAAAATTATATTTAAGAAAGGTTAAAGCAATAAAGCCAGCAAAAACAAAAGTATTAGCAATAGTATTTTAAATGCTAAATGCTATCATTTTTAAACAACTGAGTTTATTTCTAAAAATCTATAACTAGACCTAATATTTCACATTATAATTGCTATATGAACATTTTTGGTAAAGTAGGCTAATACTGAAGCTCAAAAAGGACCTATTGTTCATCATTAGAATTATATTATTAATTTAGTTTTTGGTTAAGGACCACTTTCAACATATGAATTATGATTTTTCATTTCATAAAGTTAAATATATACAGAGTTTTTTTTCATATAATCATTATGGACATCACAGGATCTCTTGAATTCCTTATTTATTAATTTAATAAAATAAAAACCAACTTAAAACAAAATACAGAAGCTAAATACAGCCAAAAAACAATTAAAATTCCCGCTTCAAAGAAACATGCATTCATATATAGATAGTTTTCTATAATAAAAAAAAGAGGCAGAATTTTTTTTAAAAAAAAAGCAAATTTGAAATTACCATTATGCTGAAATTTTGCCCTAATATCAATCAATATCTTTTGATCAAACTTGCATTTTCAAAATGAATGTTATACTAAAACTTAGCAGTTGTGTCACAGGAGAAAAGATGTCTTTGAAGAAAGGTTCAATGAGTTCCTGGAGAGAAGGGGAACTTGACTCAGGGAACAGGGAGTTCTTGGAATACCCTGATGGAAAAGAATTTCCACACAAGCCAGAGACATGGACAGAGATTTATTTAGGAAAGCAGGGGCACATTCAAAGGAGAATGTGGACCATCCCTAGAGGGAGAAAACAGAACCAGTTGGTACGGAGTGTTAGGGGCTGGACTAAAGTTGGACTCAGTGTGGAAGTACACAATTTCACGCCAGTTTTTCCTGGGCTTGCACATTGCCCTCTTATTTTTTGCAGGTGAAGACATTGGTTAAGGGTAAAGACAAAGGGTGTGGGTTGGGTTACTCAGAAGTGCAACAGTCATGGGCATTTCCTGCCACTCAATGAGTCTTGGTGTTTTCTGCCTTTTAGAGGTTTATGGATGTTTCCTTTGAGACAGTTTCTCTACTTTTATCTCCAAATCCCTATCTCATCTGTATCCAGAGTACCAAGGAGAGATCTAAATGGGGAGTGTCAATTTGGGAGATGTCCTAACTGAGTTGTTAAGAATTTGAATGAAGGTCTAAGATGTCTGTGGAATGCTTGGATTTAGAAATTGGGAGAAGAGGTACAATAAGAGGAGATCATGAAGGAATAACCAAAGAATAAGAGAAAAAAAAAGTGAACGTGAAATCCCAAAGCCCCATAATTAAAAAAAAAAAAAAGAAGAAGAAGAAGAAGAGGGAGTAATGGACCATGGAAGATGCTACTGATTGGCTAAATGATATGAAGTCAGAATTTACTACTGTATTTAGCAATTTGGAGGTCATTGGGGATATCAGAACAAGCAGACATTTTCATGCCTTTTTGTTGTTTTGGGTAGTGGTGGTGATGGTATAAGCAAAGCTTGATAAAAGGGATTCAATGGAGAATGGGTAGGAATAAATTGATGCAAGTGATGTAATTATTAAGAATTATAGAGCCAAGGAAGTTTATCAAATTTTCACTTTGATGACAATGATACAATGGGTAGGTAAAATTTGTTCAAACCAGAGAGAAAACGAGAATTTCTGGACTTATTTTCTTGAAAAGGGGAAGCATAAGTTTAAAGGACTTTGATTCAATTAAGAACTGTCTTAGTCCCTTTAGGGTGCTATAACAAAGTCCCTTAGATTTGGTAAATTATAACAGCAGAAATGTCATCACTCTCAGTTCTGGAGGCTGGAAGTCCAAGATGAAGGCAAAGCAATACAGGTATCATTTTGCTCTATAACCTCACCTGGCAGAAGAGGTGTGGTAGCTGTCTTTGGCTTCTCTTATAAGAGCATTAATCTTATTTTTGAGGGTTCTAGCCTCCCTCATGATCAAATCATTGTCCCAAACACGCAACCTCTTAAGATTGGGTGTTAGGATTTCAACATATGAACTCAGGGGGAACATAACCATTCAGCCCAAAGCAAGAACACAGTAGTACATCCACAGCCATGTGCAGAAACACAAAGCTTATTGTAGATGGTTTTATGGGGTGGGGGCAGCTCTTGCTAAGTCTCTACAGTCTAAAAGAGCAGTAAAATTGCTCTGTAAGGGAGTGGGAGAATAATGAACTATAAAAATGTGACAAGTTTATTGGGCACACTAAGGGTCCAGAAGAAATAGATATTTAAAGAAATATATAGCCAGGTGTGGTAGAGCATACCTGTAATCCTAGCTATTCAGAAGGCTGAGGCAGGAGGATGATCCATTGGAGGCCAGCCTAAGCAACTTAGCAAGGCCCTAAGAAACTTAATGAAACCCTCTCTCCATACAAAAAAACATTAAAAATGCTGGCAGGGATGTTGCTTGTTGGTAAAGTATCCTTGCAATCAATCCCCAGGACCAAAAATAAAACAAAACAAATCCCCCAAAGAAATCTGTAATCATAAATGTAATTCAGCATAAGTATACATTTCTTCTAGCCTTCAGATGAAGATGAAGGTGTAAAGGATAAAATATTTCTTTCTTAACTCATCACCATGTTGATAGTTGTTGAAAGACAGATTGACAAGAACAAAGCCAGCAGATTTATTTAATATAATAATATTATATTATTATATATTATATTAAATGACAGAAGAGCCTTCAGAAATGAAGGTCCAAAGAAAGAGGGAAATATTTATATTTTTAAGCTAATTTTAATGAAAAATAGACAGTTGTATAGGATCGTGATTGTAGTACAGAAAGTTATGGCCTCGTGGTAATGAACTGTGGGGGTGGGTGGTTACCAATGATCTGATCTGTTTGTTCAGATTATTCTCTGCATTCCTGTCTCTTCAGGGATAAGAATGTTTCTTCCTCCAGATACAGGCAAGGCATCTCCGATTGGAAAGTTTTACAACCTACTTCATAGGACGGTCAGAGAATTCTTTTATGGCCTGCTTCGGGGGAAAGTGGTAGGAGACGATCAGAGAGACCTTCTTGTTTTTGATATTTCCTCAAATGTCAAGGTGCCAAACTTTGGGATAATGTGTCCTGAAACCCATCATAGGCATAAAGCCAAGAGGTTTAGCTTTAACCAGGGTTTTTCTAAAAGGACAGTAAACTAGTTAGATCCAACTGAGACTGTATGCAAAGGAGTGTTTCTTGTGGTGTATCATAACAGGGTAGAATAAAGTGAGTCTATGCAGGAGTGAGGACAGGGAGGAGGAAGAAGAGCCCGTATCAGGTATTGGGCAATTCAAAGAACTGATTCTAGTAAGATAGGAAGGGTGGTCAGCAAATGGGACCCTGGAAAAGGAGAGTATGGATATTGGCAATGACAGCGTCGAGGCCAGCGTGGGACCATGGGAAATGTGGCA